TAGTCACACAGAGGACCAGATGGTTTCACTGCAGAATTCTACCAGATCTTCAAAGAAGAGTTCATACAAGTACTCTTTAAATTGTTCCACACAATAGAAACAGAAGGAACATTACCAAACTCCTTCTAGGAGGCTACAATTACCCTGATTCCTAAACCAAATGAGGATACAAGAAAGAAAGAGAACTACAGACCAACCTCCCTCATGAACATTGATGCAAAAATACTCAATAAAATAGTGGCAAACAGACTCCAAGAACACATCAAAACAATTATCCCCCATGATCAAGTAGGCTTCATCCCAGGGATGCAAGGGAGGCTTAAAAGTCAAGGCACGCCCTCAGTGTTCGTGTAGCAATGTGCTGACTGAAGGGCTTCCTTGTAGTCTGTCTAGTCTGTCATTGTATGGTATGAACTTTTAGATTTATATTCTTAAATATGACATTGTTAAACATAACACTGAAAATCCTTTCTCGAGGATATATTGTAGCTGAAAGTTTTCCTGTGTTCTGCCCCAGTCCACAGCAGCTCGGACCCAAATAAACACACAGGGTAACATTATTTTTAAACAATGGCCATGGCAGGCTTCTTGCTAGCTAACTTTTATATCTTAAATTAACTCATTTCTATAAATCTATACTTTGCCACATGGCTTGTGGCTTACTGGTACTTTACATCTTGCTTCTCCTGGCAACAGCTGGCAGTGTCTCCTCTGCTCTTTCTCTTTCCTCTCTCTAGTTAGAATGTCCCACCTAACCTTATTCTGCCTCACCATGGGCCAAACAATTTTATTTATCAACCAATCAGAGCAACACATATTCACCACATACAGTGTAGTGGGTAGCCGTTCCAGCTTTGACCTGGAAATACCACCCCCTTTGAGGCTTCAGTAACAGTCACGCCCTACAAAGTGGGGCTGAGAAAGGACCCAAGAAGACTCAAGATCCGGATGGGGGAGCTCTCTTGGTTCCTGGACCCTGGAGGCTGGAGGTAGACCGAACACAGTTTTCCAGAGAACACCGCTGGACTGCGCTACACTTTTCCCAGACCCTGTTACCTATCCCTTCACTTGTAAGTTACCCCACAAAATAAACCTCCCTTTTAACTAAGTGGAGTTGCCTTAATAATTTCACCAATAATGCAGAATGACATTACCCATATATAATATATACATTTGAAATATCAGATGATGTGCTGAAACATATTAACTTACTTCTAGTGAAATTATCCTGTTAAAGATGTATTAGATTCTTATTTAGATCTATAAGATACTTATTTCAAGTATAAATAGTTATCTTCTTTTTGTCTTTAACATTTATTTTATATATTATGATTCTGTGATTCTAGAACACCACACTTCATCAAAATTTTCAGAAATATATTTTTTGGTAACTAAAATTATATGAATACCTAGTTGATGTTTTATGTGTTGGGCTGGAAACTTATAAGAAGAATCTAGAACATCTTGTGCCTAAGATTTCAGTAATTATGGGGAAAATATGAGGAAGGAAAACTCATAGGCATTGAAGCCAATGGGCAGATAACCAGTTTCAAATCTCAAAGAATTACAGGTAGAAATCAAATTATTCTATTGGAGGGAAAAACAGACTTTGAAAAAAATGTTTTTGAAGCTGCACTGGTCACTATCATCTCTGTAATAAAAAATGAACAAAAATGAAGGAGATAAAATAAAGCTTTTACAGAATTCTAAACAATAATTATGACACTATGAAAAATCAAGATCACTATCATTAATTCCCAGCATGCAATATGCTGGCTACATTACTGATTGATATAAAAATTAGGGTGAAGATTTTTGATGAGACATGGTATATTTGTACAAACTCAAGGCATTTTCCACAAGAGAGCCATCAATTACATCAATTATAAATAAACACATACTAAGTTAACATTAGTGGAAAATGGCAGGGACACAGTAACCAAGTAATCAGCATTCACTTTCTCAGTCACAAGACAACCTGATATCATGCAATGCAGCTAAATACTATGTATAGGGAAAACACTGAGGCTATTTATATTTAACAAGCATGCCTTCATGAAGAGAGAATGGCATAAAATGCTATTTTTAACATAACAGAAAAGGAAAGCAAAGGTAGATCAAATTACAATGGCTGTTTATTTGGAGAAGTCTTTAAAAATGAGTTTGGTATTGTGGTTTTTCTTGTATATTTATTTAAATCTTCACTATTTCTTGTTTTTGTTTTAAGTCATTTCTTTGGGTATTGAGTTATTTTATTATAGCATCATTTTACATTTAATACTCAAGTCACTCATTTCATTCTTTCCCTGTTCCTAATTGCATAAAGTAATACATTTCCCTCCTCTGTAGTCCTATTTTCTCCCTACACAGTATGCTTAGCTTCCTTTAGTGCATCCATTGGAAACCTTTTGGAGTTTTCTGCTGATGGTTGTTTTGGTTCTTTGCTTTGTTTTTCAGTCCTCGAATTTGTTGCCTTATTTAAGCAATAAAGAACTTAATTTCCTTTTGTTTTAAACCCTCAAGAATGTGTTGGCGGTTATCTTTTCTTCTTGTGTATGTGTGGGATGTACATGTATGTTACAATGAGAAGACACAAGCACATGGGAGCATGTCTTCAATATTAAGACCCTGTCTCTTCCTACCTTGATCTGTATGCTATATAGTACATGCTTTAAGCAATGAGTCTTCTCAAAACTGTCATCAAGTTGTGTAATGTGGATTGCATTGTGTACGGAGATTTTTTTTAAACATTGATTAGATTTAGGAAGGCATAGGACTTGGTAAACTAATTATGAAGGTTCTATTACATATGCAACTACTATATATACCCTACTACAAAGAAATATATATACTGGACAACAGCAGAAGAAAAGAACCCACTGGGAAGACAATATTGAAAACATACCAAAACCCTATTTCATTTTATACTTTCATGCTACACACACAAAAAATAAAAAACTTAGCAGAGATTAGGAAGAGTGCCAGAAAGCTCGGCTTGTGGTCATGTTGTTTTCATCTAGTTTGCAGCGACTTTTTAACAAGCTCCCATTTGAACAGGCACCTGAAGGATGTGATCAACTGAGCCACTGGGCAACTCAGAGTTGAGAAGTTTCAGGGAAAAGAAAGACTGGGAGCAAAGAGCATCCGTAGGATAGTAGCCAAGTCAGTAGTGGAGTCTTGCTGTTAACACTGCAATACCCCAAGTACAGATAAGGATACGTAGAAAATCACAGGATGAGACCATTCTGAATTCCAACATCATGTTGTAAGAAAGACGCTAGTACTGAGAAATCCTCTTATGCCATTACATGGCCCTAGAAAGAGCACATATCAAAGACATCTTATATTTGGAGAACTCTATGAAAATATATGGGAATAATGAGGAAAGAATTTATGATATAAGAATTCATGTGACAAAAGTACAGAGAAGGAAATAAAAAATTCTTTAGCCAGGAAAATACTGAAGATCTGATTTAATGCAAATCTTTCATAGATGTTACTAGAGGTAAAAGATATTAAGAAAGAAATATGAATGTAATACCAGGCCAGGATCTTCTGATGTATACTAAAGAGAATTAAGCTTTATCGGCACGTGAGGCTATAATCAGAAGTGTGCTTGTAGTCAATTAACCCATCAGAAATTGTAGTTTATGACCAGGTGTTAAAATTGAGATCTCGTTAGCAGTAGGGGAGGTTCATGCTGGAATCACAGGCAGGTACACCAAGGGCTTACTTATATTCCTGCTTTGCTCCTGAACGAAAGAGGCTTTGTCAGAATCGACTGTTCCTACTCTGGCACGGTGAAGGACATCTTTTTGTTTCTAACACAGACTGCTCTTTGTTTTTGTTGTCACAAACAGAAATGAGATTCTTATACTGTGTGACTGATTCTGTGGTTTTCTGAGCTGTTTTGATCTGCAGCTAAAGTAATAGATGTAAATAACTACACATAGCCTGGAAAATATTGAGTACAAATATTCACTGTATATCAGGTGATTTGTTGTGATTATGTAAACACATTCAGGTGCCTTTCTGTACTCAGATACCATCTATTCAAATAAAATAAGCTAATTTTCAAAATCAGAATCACCAACTGACGCTATTTAGACTGCTATACACAGGACCAGACCCTTGACATCCCACCTTTTCTGGTAGCTTTTAATAAATATTCTTAAAATATCAATTCATCAATGTCTAATATAGAGTATAAGTTGTACCATATTCTTTTGCAGCTATAGGTCTATAGTCTGTGAGTTCCCACAAGCTTGGTTCAGCTGTCTCTGTAGATTTTCCCATCATGATTGTGACCTGTCCCTTCCCGCTCCCGGAGCTCGGCCTGGTGCTTGGTTGTGAATCTCTGCATCAGCTTCCATCAGTTACTGAATGAAGCTTCTATGAGGACAGTTAGGGTATTCATTAATCTAATTACCAGAGCCTGCATGGGAATGGACTAGGCCCTCTACATGTGGGAGACAGTTGTGTAGCTTGGGGCCCCTAGCAGTGGGATCAGGATTTATCCCTGGTACCTGAGCTGGCTTTTTGGAGCCCATTACCTATGGTGGGATGCCTTGCTCAGCCTTGATGGGGAGATGGGGGTTGTCTTGGTCCCACCTCAACTGAATGTACCAGGCTTTGCTGACTCCCCATGGGAGGCCTTACCCTTTTCAAGGAGGGGATGGGGGTGGTGTAGGGACGGGGAAGGCTTGGGGTGAGCAGGAGGAGGGATGAGAGGGGGATCTGTGGTTGATATGTAAAATGGATAAAAAAAAAATTCTTAAATAAAAAGATTACCATATCCTTTTCCAGAGACTTTACTTATGAATATTCTCTACATAAATCTCCTTGTTCACTTCTTTCTTATATCTGTATATGTGTGTTTATATGTATATATGTATATGCATGTACATATATATGAGAAAGAAATTATATATATATATATATATATATATATATATATGTAGATGCATAATAACATTTAAATATTTCTTTGTCCTGTACAGATACCATCCATCTTCGAGTTCTTGAATCCTCTCCAGTTGGCACAGCTGTTGGAAGTGTAAAAGCAACTGATGCTGACATGGGGAAAAACGCTGAAGTAGATTACCGCATTATTGATGGAGATGGGACTGATATGTTTGACATTATAACGGAGAAGGACACACAGGAAGGCATCATTACTGTGAAAAAGGTGTTCAGCTTCAGCATAAGCAAGCATCTCTGTGTTTAGAAAGTAGAGATTTCACTGTGTACTGTTTTGCTCTTGCATTAGCTACCAAAAGAAAAAGCGCTGCTGTGTTTGGTTGAGTATTGTATTACATGTAAATAAGGAGGTTCTGATGCCAGAGAGCCATTAGACAATTTGACAGTATGCTCTTCATATCAGTAACATGAAACCTGAGATTTGAACAAAAGTTTAAACAGCCAAGTTAAAATATGTGTAATTATATTTCTTAGCCTTGTTATTAAAGGACCACTGTAAATGCAATGTTTTCTTAAAGAGCAGTTAATAACTAATAATGGCAATATATCATCACAGTTGGAGGCATAAAAATAGCATGCTATCCAGATGTATGAGCCAATAATTAGAGTTGCTAATAAAAAGAGACAGAATGGATTAGAAGATAATTTAATTGTTCACATTTTCCCTTCTGTTGCATAAATTAAATTTTTCTGCTAACATATGCTCAGTGATAGAATTTAAAGGTAGCCAGGTTTTACTGTAGTTGGCTCCATCATTATAAGAAAAATAAGGCACATTTCTATTTAGGTCAAATTGAAATCCTGCAAAAACAAAGTAACCATTGAGATACTGGTAACCAATACAGTTTTTCTGAGATTCTATTGCAGGCACGGGACACACAACCAACTGTTACTCCCAGTGACTAGCAATGTTAAAAAGCCACTTCTCAAAGTCAGCAAGTAGGAATTACTAGCCAGAAAATATCAATAAAGCAAACAAAAATCTTTTGCTTTTCTGAATGAAAAAGATGAACAAAACTTGAGCAAGCAATGATTTTTATTCAATACTATGGATCGAAGGATTATATTTTAAAACTGTGATATCTACTCATGAAATTGCTAAAAATTTTTCTTTTCTCATGACTTAATATATTGTTTATCTTGAATATTTCTTATAACTGCTGATGTTTGAAATTCTATAAAGAAGTTATAGTTCCATGAGCCCATTACACTGATGAAAATACTTAGATATAGATGTGTAAATGCCCCCAAATGTTTAAAATCATAGAATTTTTGCCTTAAATTGTTCAGTCATAACCTTTTTAGCATCAAATATATGTACATACAGAAGTGCATAACTCATCAACCCATGTTTTATATGGAATTATGATGCTTATGAGATAAAATTAAATAATCATCCAAATTTGTACAATAATTAAAGTAAAATTTTCCTATGTCTAAAAGCACTACATATTGGACACCTACAATTATAAATACTAGTGTAGAAAATAGTGTCTAATTGTTATGTCTTTTTACTAATGAGCAACTTTCAGGATTTCAAAGTTCTACTATACTTAGAGAGAACAGACATCCCATTACCCACAGTCTAATTTGATAATTTTTGTCTTTATGCAGCCACTTGACTATGAGAGTCGAAGGCTTTATACTCTGAAGGTCGAGGCTGAAAATACCCATGTGGATCCACGTTTCTATTACCTAGGGCCATTCAAAGATACTACAATTGTGAAAATTTCCATAGAAGATGTGGATGAGCCCCCTGTTTTCAGCAGATCCTCCTACCTGTTTGAGGTTCATGAAGATATTGAAGTGGGTACAATCATTGGCACTGTAATGGCAAGAGACCCAGATTCTACTTCCAGTCCCATCAGGTATTTATGCCAGTGTTAAAGAATAAAAGGAACAGAATTGAAAGGCATATGGGGACCATGAAATTCTGCTTGATTACAAGAGTTCCTCTATAAATTCTACATACATTTGGTGTGCACAGAGTTTGAGGGATATTTTGACTGAATGTCATGGGCAAAGCACACACCAGCTTTACGGTTTTCTAATTCTTGCCTTTTCCATTAGGTTAATTACCTATGTCATGAGTTTGATTCATTAAAATATTGGCTATTCTAACCACTGATGTAGGACAAAAATACATAGTTGAATGTATACTATGCTAGACATAATTCATCTATGATGGATGGGAAGAGTTTTGTTTCAGTTTCATGTCATGATTGTGTGTGTTTTGTTTTCTTTTATAGAGCTATTTCAAAAAACATTTGAGTATTCCAGAAACATGAGAACCATTTCTGACTTTTCATTTTTTTTTGCTTTTTTTCCTATGCAATAAAGGCATATGAGTTGTGATAGATACATTAAAATGAGCAATATTCAAAGTTTTTGTTAGCATTTGAACTGCTGTTAAAGAACTATAAATATCTGTGTTCATTGTTCAACATCCAAATGAACATTTCATCCAATTTGTTAATCTATTGTGGGTTTTGGATTTCCTTCCTTTACCAAAATTCAGGAAGCTCAATTTGCATCTATGTGACCCAGTCAAGTATGAGTTGCAATGTTTGTTTCTGAGTGAACTCTTTTGAGTATATTTCATGTTCCATGAGACTCCAAGTAGATTCAAATGAACAATTCTGCTGATTCTGCCAGTCCCAAAACAAAATTGTAATAGTCAAATATTATATACATATATATATATATATATATTTCTATATCACGTATTCATGTATTTTATGCAAATGCATTGTCTTATATTCATGCATTCCTCCACAAGTTATATACTGGCAGAAGAAAAAGATAATTGTACATGATAATCAGACAGTGCTCCCATATGCCAGATGAACTTTGCCACAAATGCCTCTATTCTAGATGCTTTATCAAAATTGCTACATTTTATGAATGTTCTCTTCCTTTGAATTTTATTATAGTAACTAATATGGGTATTTAATTTTCCCCATTAAATACTTAACATTTTCTTGCAAGAGAATCAGCTGAAGTAGGCTATGTCCTTGGTTCCCATTTTCAAAGCAGATTTTAAAATACGATGTGCTAGGTTTTTTTTTTTTTTTCTGTTTTAAAACAGGGTCACATAACTCATATTTATCACAAGTATACAATGTTGCCAAAGATGACCTTGAAGTTCTTATCTTCCTGCCTTTATCTCCCAAGTTCTAGGATTTCAGGCCTATGCCATTAATCCCAGGCTATGTAGTTCTGGAGTCAAACCCAGAGCTTCATGTATGCTACGCAAGAGCCTTGCCAAATATACTACAAGCCCAAAACTTATATACTGTTTATGAGGGATAAATTTCAATCAGTAGTATTGTTATAATAACAAAATATTTCTCAATAATGTAAAAATTGATTGATGTCTTTATATAGACTGGTCATTATTATATCAAATCTATCTCTTGACATTTACAGATAAACTAAAATGTTTAATGGTAATGCTTTTCTAAGTACCGAGAGGAAAAGTACATTTTCGTATGGCAGCTGTCTTAGCTAATGTTTCCATTGCTGTGAAGAGACACCATGACCACACAGCTATTATAAAGGAGAACATTTCATTGTGGTGTCACTTACAGCTCAGGGATTTAGTCCATCATTGTCACATTCGGACATGGCATGGAACAAGGAGACATGGTACTGGAGAGGTAACTTAGGGTTCTACATCTAGATATGTGGACAACAGAAAGTGAACTGTCTCACTGGGCATGCCTTGGGCCTACATGAAACCTCAGGCCCCCTTCCCCCACACCACTAAAATGACACACTTTCTCCAACAAGGTCACACCTACTCCAACAAGGCCATACCTCTTAACAGTGCCACTCCCTTTGGGGGCCATTTTCTTTCAAACCACCACATTCTACTCCCTGGCCCCCAAAAGCTTATATCCATATCATAGTGCAATAAGGCATTCAGTCCAACTGTAAACATCCCCATTGTCTATAACAGTCTCAAAATTATTTAGAAGTCTAAAGTTCAAAGTCTCCTCTGAGATTCATGCAAACTCTTAACTACAGTCCCCTGCAAAATCAAAACCACAAAGCAAATCACATACCTCCAACTTAAAATTGCACAAGTTATACATTACCACACCAACGTGTAGGAAATGGTGCATAGCAAGGAATGGACCAAAGCTAGACCAAAAAACAGCTGGGCACACTCCAAACTCTGCATCTCCATGTCCGATGTCAAAATGCTTTTCAGATCTCCAACTCCTTTCAGCTTTGTCGACTGCCATCTACTTCTGTACTTGGGCTAGTTCCACTCCCTGTGAGCAGTCTCCTCAGCAGGTATCCCAGAACTCTGTCATCTCCAATATCTTGGGGTCTCCAAGGCAATCCATACTTCAACTTCACAGCCTCATTCAATGTCATCTCTAGGCCTCCATGCATGGACACCCCTGACACTTGCCTGGCCTCAGTGGCTTTCCTTAGTCATGGGAGCAATTACCATAGTCCCTTTCTTCTATCTTTAACTCCGAATCATGTAGCCAAAGCTGCCAAGGTTTGCTGCTTACTGGGGCTAGCACTTGGCCCCCTCATTTAAATACATTTTTTTACTAACTCTCTGTTTTCAATGGTTTTACTTCACTGCCTAAGCTTGACTGTTCTGCAACTTGCTTTGTAGGCCACGATAGCCCCAAACTCAGAGATCTACTAGCCTCTACCTTCTGAATGCTGGGATTAGAGGCATGCTCCACTCCACCCAGCTCTAAACTTTTAGCTAAGTTGGAAATTTAGCTGGTAGGAGCTTGCCCTGAGGTCACCACACCTTTTATTCCAATTTTTAATCATTTATCTCCTTGAACACAGACTTTAGGTCTATCCCACTTCCTAGCTTCCCTGACATTTTGTATATTTATTTGCTCAGCTCTATCCTTTTCATTATAAATCTTCATCAAATAATCTTCATCACTAATAATTACTTGATAGTCTCTACTAGGCTGTTTTGAGAGCTCCTCTGCCAATGAAATTAATTTGAATCTCTTCACTTTAGCCTCAGTCAGACTCTTCAGACATGGGCAAAAAGCAGCCATGTTCTTCACCAAAATATCACAAGACCATACTAATATATGTCTCCTCTGAAACCTCTTGATCCAGGCACGCACAGTTCAAATCACAATCAACACCATTGTTTTCCATGTTTCTACTAGAATGGTCCATTAAGCAGCACTTCAAGTGTTCAACTGGTTTTCTAATCCACAGTCCCAAGGTCCATATTCCTTTGAACAGCAACAACAACAACAAAAAAAGGCATGATCAGGCCTATCCTTTCACATTAATACCCTACTTCTGGTACCAACTTCTCTTAGTTAGGGTTTCTATTGATGTGAAGAGACACCATGAACATAAAAATGCTCATAAAGGAAAACATTTGATTGTGGTAGCTTGCTTATAGTTCATTTAGCATATAATTCACCATGGTGGGACATGGCAGTATGCAGGCAGACATGGTGCCTGAGAGGTAGCTGAGAGTTCTACATCTGAATTTGCAGGCAACAAGAAGTGAACTGTCTCACTGGGCATGGCTTGAGCATATCTATGATTCACAGCCCACCTCCACAGTGACACAATTTCTCCAACAAAGCCACACCTACTCCTACAAGTCCATCCCTCCTAATAGTGCCACTCCCTTTAGGGGCCATTTTCTTTTAAACCATCACACCAGCAATAATAGTCTATGTGACAATGAGTATATTGATGCTGATTGTTGTGCATTTTGACTCTCTTTTACCTTAGATATAGAAAATGCAGATATTTTTAGATGTTATGGTTTAGATAGAACCTAGAGATGTATATCTGATATGAATACAAATATATTTGTGTAGATTATAGATTATGCTTTCTATATCTAGGGGTTCATCTTTCTCTTGGCAGAAATAGATAATATACAGAAAATATTTACTTTTCAAACTAAATCCAGTACACAAGAAAGAAACACATAAAAAGGACTGAGATTAGTCAGTGATGCACCATTCTTAGGGTGTTTTATGAAGAAATCAAGACAAATCTGCTTCATGACTTTTCTTTTCGAGTAAGGGACTTCACAGTTTTCTAACGTGCCAAGGATTTCAGTATTTTTTTTCTTTAATTTGATAACTATTTGCAGATTGTTCTCATGTTTGAATGTATTCTCCACTCAAAAAACCTTGCTTCTGAGAGTCAAGTAATATTCAATGAGTGTCAACTACAGCCTGGTGCTGGGTAGAGCAAGATGAGCAGCAGGCTTGATAATTTCATGTCTTATTTCTTATTTTCAATTTGTGATGAAACAGCTTAAAATACAGTGTCATAAGTGGAGAAGATTAATATAGGGACATTTAAATTAGAAGGCTGCAAACAGCTTCTACCATGGATAATCATGGAAGGCTATTAGAATGACATAAAATTTACCTTAGGATTTTTTGAAATTGAATTAATTTTTTTGTGTGTGCATTTCTGTTTGTTTTTAATTGTTGTTCTGCTTTTTTGTTTTGAGATAGGGTTTCCTTGTGTAGCCTTGCTTATCCTATAAAGAACTCTGTAGACCAAGATGTCCTCGAATTCACAGAGCTCCACCCGCCTCTGCCTCCCAAGTGCTGGGATTAAAGGTGTTTACTACCACCACCTGGCTAGTGAGTTAACTTTTTATTTGGAAATTATTCCAGATACAAGGATATAATAATTTGCTTTACTTGATTATGGCAAGACACCTGGTTTGATAAATATATTGATGTTTACCTTTATTATGCCACCCTGAGTGACAAATGCTGGTATTACTCTTTCAAATGACATGTAACATGATGCCTGCTATCAGTTTCTAAAAGAGCTGTTTTCATTTATTTATAAAACTTTATTCTTTATAGATGCATAAACATTTCTTATACTGACCTGTAGCAATTTTAGAAGACCTTAAGACATTTATTTTATAATGATACATGTGATCAAAGAACCTAAACAAGGGTGGATATCACATATAAAGTTACAAATCATCACAAATTGATAATGTGCTGCTTTGATGAAAGTAATCTGGTCTTCAATTTTCTCATTAATAAAAAAAAACTATGTTTCTGACATTAACCTTTATGATGTACAGTTGTAGTGGTTCATCATCAGAAGACTTGATTACTGAGTACATTCAGTTGATAATGAAACTACGTGTGATACATACTATTCTGTGTCCCAAAATACAAGCAAAGTATTTAATTTTTATGGCAACCAGCAATAGTTTAAGTCATGGACATTTGCAGAACTTACATGTTTATGCAAAATAAAGTACCAGTTCATGCCTTGAATGATCAATGTTTATCATTTTTAACTAGTGAAACAGTTTATATTCTACATCAGCTCTGTGGTTTCCAATAATTCTGAGTAAAGTATATATCTTTGTATTTTAGGTTTTGCTCATGAAAACCATTAATATTATTGCCCTATATTTTCTTTATGATCTATTTCTAGATTCACTTTGGATCGCCATACTGACCTTGACAGGATCTTTAACATTCATTCTGGAAATGGATCTCTTTATACGTCAAAGCCACTGGATCGTGAACTATCTCAATGGCATAATCTTACTGTTATAGCTGCTGAGATCAGTAAGGAGTTATATTTAATGAACATTTTTATTTTGTGAATATCTTGCTTCCTGCATTTCAACATATTTGTGTGTTTGTTTTATATTATAATAATTATGTCTATTCAAACTAAATTTCATTGTGCTTTTTCAAATCATTTTTCAAGTGTCAATTTTTTCATTAATTCTTTTATTTTTAAAATGAGGAATAGCTAAACATATTGCAGCTAATAATAACATAGTAAAATGTTTACTCTGTTCTCTCAAGAATATTACCATGGTTTGAGTGTTGAATTACCTAAATCTCCTTTTTATGTCTAGTAGAGATTTGGTTGTCATATGTATATAATGTGTGTATATTATATAAATTTGCATAATTAAGTGCTCTTACAACTTTTAGGTCATATACATTTATTATATTACTCTGATTTGTTTCAAGTAGCTTTGAATGTATTTAATTTATTTTTTTCTCTTGTAAATTTGAGTGTTTGTTGTATTCGTAATATTTGTTTCTAATTTTTTATTGGCATGTTTCTTTTTCTATTGAGATTCATTCATGTTCTTAATAATGGTATTTACCAATTTCTTTCTCCTTTGAGTATAGTATTCCTATAAGCACCTTGTAATTCTGATATAGTTGTCTGGAATTCTCTGAATTTATCCTTTTTATGGAAGGTCTTTTCTTTTTCTTTGATGTGAAGGAAACCTTGATGGGTATAATAATCTTAGTTGTCAGTTATTTTCTATCAGGACAAGAAACACACCATCCATGTCCTGGCATATAGAGTTTCTTTAGAGCTGTTTGTCTTTGAATTTACTTGATATTGCTATTTCAGACTGTAATATTCTTTCTTTGCTCTGTACTTCCAATAATTTAACTAATATGTTGTAGTGAAGTACATTTATTATCATATATGCTAGAGGGTCTAAATGCTTCTTGTACTTGGATGCCCACGTCTTTCCCAAGCTTTGGGAAATTTTTGCTTTGGTTTCACTTAAGAGGTTTTATGTGCCCTCACACTTTGTGGTCCTTCACCTCAAGTATGTCAGGGAGTAGAATATTTGTTTATTTAAGGGAACTCCACAGCTCTTTTGTCTTATCTTAATACTTCTTACTTTTCTTTTGTTTCTGATGCTGACAATTCAAATGAGGTTTTCAAGATCTGTTATTTTTTTTCTGCTTAATCTAATCTCATATTGAGAATGCCAACTGATTTTTTCCTGAACTTTAGAGTTTCTTATTTCCTCTGTGATTTCTGTCCAGCACTCTTTCAAATCTGTTGTGTTCATTAATTTACTTAATGTGTTTTTTTATTCATTTTTCTTGTATTTCTATGTTGCGAGTTTTTCCTCTATTGAGGTGGTCATCATTTTTTCCTGGTATGTTATGGCCTTTTTTTTTTCATTTATTTTACACACCAATCAAAGATCCCCCTCTTCTCTCCCTGCTCCCCCAGCCTCCCCTCCCAACCCATCCCGCACTCCCTCCCACAAGAAGGCAAGACCTCCCATGTGGAGGCACATTCAATAGAGGCAAGACCAAGCCCTTCCCCTGCATCAAGGCTGCACAATGTGTCCCATCATAGGTTGGGCTTTACAAAGCCCACTCATGCACCAGAGATGGATTCTGATCCTACCGCCAGCGGGCCTCCCAAGCAGATCAAGCTACACAACTGTCTCACCAAGCAAAGGGCCTAGTCCAGTACCATGTAGGATCCACAGCCATTGATCTAACTTTCATGATTTCCCTCTAGTTTAGTTTGGTTATCCCTGCAGGTTTCCCCATCATGATCCTGACGCACTTGCTCATAGAATCCCTCTTTTCTCTCTTTGACTGGACTCCTGGAGCTCTGTCTAGTGATTGGCTGTGGATCTCTGCATCTGCTTCCATCAGTCACTGGAGAAAAGTTCTGTGATGACAGTTAAGGTATTCACCGATCTGATCTCTGGGGCAAGCCAGTTCAGTTCAGGCACCCTCTCCACTATTGCTAGTAGTCCAGTCTGCGGTCATCCTTTGAGATCCCTGGTAACTTCCCCAGCACCGGGTTTTTCTCTATCCCCGTGATGTCTCTCTCTATCATGGTATCTCTTTCACTGTATTCCCCCTCCCTCCCTGCTCCAGTTCAACCATCCCATTCCCTTAGGTTCTCATCCCCTATCCCCTATCCCCTACCCTCCATTGCCCACCCCTCATCCCCAGTTTACTCATGGAGATCTCATCTATTTCCCCTTCCCAGGATTGCGCATGCATCCATCTTTGGGTCTTCCCTGTTATTTGGGTCCTCTGAAGTTGTGGCTTGTTGTCTGATTATTCTTTGCTTTATATCTAGTATCCACTTATGAATGAGTACATACCATGTTTGTCCTTCTGAGTCTGGGTTACCTCATTCAGGATAATATTTTCTAGTTCCATTTGCTTGCAAATTTCATGATGTCAGAATGGCTAAGATCAAAAGCACTGCAGACAGCTTATGTTGCAGAGGATGCAGAGCAAGGGGAACACTCCTCCACTGCTGGTGGGAGTGCAAACTGGTACAGCCACTTTGGAAATCAGTATGGTGGTTTCTCAGAAAATTGGAAATCAATCTATCTCAAGACCTAGTTATATCACTCTTGGACATATACCAAAGGAATACTCAATCATACTACAAGGACACATGCTCAGCTATGTTCATAGCAGCATAATTCATAATACCCAGAACCTGGAAACAACTGAGATGCCCCTCAACTGAAGAATGGATTAAGAAAATGTGGTATATATACACAATGGAGTACTACTCAGCAGTGATGGCCTTCTTAATAACTTCCTCTAATAATTTGTCTTTGGTGAGATCAGTCCTGGGTTGGATTCACAGCTCTGTGGGAAGTTAAGTCTAGGTAGAGGAAAAAGCAAGCTGGTGATATGATGAAGTTGGGCACTGCATTTCCCTGTCCAGAAAAATCTAGTGCTGGGTGTTTCTCATTCATGTTATAAAGTCCAAGGATAATCTTACAACATGTTTATTTCCCTCATGCAACCTGGTATAGCAGAGCTAAAATTAGTAAGCAGAAAGCTGGGAGCTCACATGCCCACAGCAAGGCAGCGTGGAGACATGGATTGTTCTTAAGGACATTAAGTTAGAATTCCTCTTGCTAATTTTTTATTAACCTCATCTTATTGAAGATCCCGGTCCTTGGAGATTTTTGTAATTTTAAAAAGTCACAATGCCAGAAGCAGTAAACTAGGCATAAAATTCACTATTTGATTTCTAGATCTAACACTTCATTCTATGCATGCTTTTAAAAAAAAAATCAATAGTTCATCCAATTAGAAAATGAGAAGTTAAAGTCTGAGGACAATATATTTGTAAAACTGCAGCAGATATTGTTCCCAGAGAGGACTGCATCACTGTGGATGCCCCTGTCATTCTTTAGTGGACTGTTGAAAATCATTATGGGTCCAGATGTGACAGCACTTGCCTATAGTTCCAGCACTCAGAAGGCAAGAAGGATAAATCAGAGTGATGTCAGGGAGATCCTGCCTCAAAGAACAAGAGCATGAGCTAATCCTACAGAAAAAAAAAATTAGAGACAAAAACCATTAAGAAATTTGAGACGGTGGCAACAGAGCCTTACATCAAATGTGCAGTCTGTTACCTCATAAAGAAACTGGAACAGTCACATACCCACGCTCGTAAAAACCTCACAGTGCCCAACCTCTTGCTGAACCAATTATAAGGCAGAACAGCCCTGTAAACTTTTTACAAGAAGCTTTAACTTTCAGCTGAGCCATGGTGAGAAACTGCCTACAAATTCTATACATGTAATACTGAGTCTACACACAGCCATTATGGGAAGCAACTATTGCAGACGAAAACCAGATCCCAGTCTCCCAGGATCACAGAACTGTGCAAGTAGTCTTGTCAGTTCACCATTCAAAGCTTCCAACTAAAATAATGGATTAAGCTTCATCATTCTAGCTGGGGTCGAAATAGAGATTCACTTCTGCCTTCCCCAAAGATCATGCTTTGTTTAGGGAGTTATAAATGGTGGTATCTCTTGAGGCTATCAATTTAAAAACATATTTTCTCCTATAAGGAACACTTCCATTTCTCTGTCTTCTCCTGTATCTAATGAGATCCAATTTGGAGCTTCTGGAATCTGATTGTTTGTGCTGTCTGCTCAGCTCAAGATCCTTATTCGAGCTCACTGAGCTTCGAATTGCATTTTCTATTTCAGATACTTTGAGAAATTTAACTTCTAAAGCTAGTTGAAGTAATTATGATTCTGCAAAAAGCTTAGCCAATTACTTCTTAAGAGCTAAGCCTATTCTTGCCCTTAAGTGAAATCAATCTGCGGAATGAGTGCTAGAAATGCCCACCTGCCAACCACATGTAGCCAGGGTCCCATTATGCTGTTCTGGGCATTCAGTGCAATGAGAGTGGAAGAAAAGCACATACAGGGAATTGTTTCACTAAACTTTAAACACTGGTTTGATGGTAAGTGTGTCCCTCACGAAGCCCTGAGCAGGACAGAGGCATGTGTAAATGAACCTCTTTCCAATGTGTTTCCAGGTCCGCCTCTAACAGTTTAATTCCACATTGCACAGCAAAAGTCACATCATGTGACAAGTGCGGTCTGCCTTAGGTAATTATTCAGTGCATTATAGCATGGCATAATTTTTTCCCCTTTTTAAAATGCCAGGTGGAAAATGCAAAACTCTAAAATTAATGTCACAATCAGTGACTTCATAATAAACTTGAGATCTTAGAATACACAGGAAACCAAGGAGTTCCTATAATTACATCTAAAAACTGATCATATTGCATGTATATATGCATATGTCATATATCATACATATTGAGAAAACATTGTTCAATGCATGCAGAGAAGTTACATCTTTTGAAAGCCCCAAGTTTCAAGAGAATAATTCAAGCTTGCCTCTTTTGGGCTGATTGGAAAAGCTTATGCATGCATGGGAATGGCCTTACTTGAGGACATACATCCTGAAAGCCTTTATTGCTCATGCTTTCTTGTATTACTAGAGTTTCCCTGAAGGATTCTGAGGGAAATTCAGGTGGTAAATATAAGCCAGCTGCTATTCAGTATAATTCTTCCTTGGAATGCTTTATACTTTTATTTATACATAAGCTGTAGCATCTGCCAGCAAAAAAGATTAGTGTAAGCACTGTTTTCTGAATAGATGACTCCAGGCCTTATTCTTTATAAAGCACATTCATCCCTGTGGATTTAGCTTTTGATTCAAAGAACCTTGAGTTATTCGGAAAGAGGCTGAAGAGTCTTCCTATTGTGCTAGAGAAGGGTCTCACAAAGCAGTTTCTTACCTATGAAACTTTTTTGGCCCTTTTGACTCCACTTTCATAATTAGGAATTGGAACTTCCAATATGAATTAAGTCCATTTCAAGAATAATAAAAATGAGTATTTTGCATATGTCTCACTCTATTAGTAGGTAGAAGAGTGTAATCTAGAAACGTACCTTTCCATTCTTCTCCATATGAACCAGTAACTAGGGAGGTAAAGGTCCATTCATAGCTGGATATACCTACCTCTAAGTATTAGCCAACTATTAGGAACACTGAAGAATAGCATTTTTTCCTTTTTTGTTTGTTCTGTTCTGTTTCATTTCTTTTTATCTACTTCTTGCCTATGTATTCATCAGATCCATGTAAATGGAGGGAAACTATTAGCACTGTTCATATCTTTTTATTTTGTATATTTTATTGAGAGGAAAATTAGCACAAAAAGTAACAAAAGGAAATGAAGGTATGTCAATGATCATAACGATGATCTCATGGGAATATTTAACATATCTTGAGGTCTAATCTCAAAATTGATGCTTTGTTAAAAAGTTTCATATCTAATTTTCCAATGAACTCCTGTGAGATGGGAAGTTCTACTTGATATTTTTTCATGAACTGAGGAAAAAGAGAGCTGGAGTGCGTATACTGACCAAAGTCAAAATATGTGAGTGTTGAACTTGAGAGTCAACACAGCTCACTTGATTCTGAGGCCAAAATTCTCAACTTTACAATGCAGTTACAGGTGTATTGTATGCATTAAGAGTTTGAAAACTCCTAAAATAAATTTTTCTAACTACATGCATGTGAGTTAAAAAGACAAGGGCAAGACTAAAAAGATGGTAAAATTAAGATGATCTTTTCTTTTTGTGAAAAAAAGAGAAGGTAATTATACTTCAAATTATATAGAACCCTTAGCCTCTCCTTTATAGTCTACTAGGCTTATGATCCACCTGATGAGAAACCAGCTCTTCGTTGTGTAGGCTCATTAATTTATTAAAAATACAGTTATATAGAAAGGGTGTTAAACTCTTTCAAATTGTAATATTTTCATTGAAATATTTTTTTTGTTTTTGTATTTGTAAATCACAAAGAAAAATATTAGGAAAAATGATAAGTATCCTTAGAATAAGTAATGGTATTCATAATCATTTTAACCAGATATTTAACAATGGTGCTATACCTTATTTCTTCTTTTCATTTTTAGACTGTCTAATCTTCTCTTAAATTTTTATTATTTTATTAATATACAAAAGCATGAATTTCACATATTAATATTACTGTGTACTCTTTTATATGTGTATGTAGGGCATTTGATAATTTTCTTTATTATGAACTTTTAACATTCTTGATTTTGAAAGTACACTGTTTTCTTATTTCTGTAATATCCTTACTGTGGAATAGCACACTAGAATATACCTGTCTCTTAAGTTGTATTAATCAATCCTGCTTACCCTTCCTCCATCCCCTACTCTCCAATACCTCTGAAAACCACCATGATTCTTCAATGTTTTGATTCAACATATGACTTCAATCATGTAGTACCTGTGTATACTTGCTTTACAATTTTCAGCTTCATCCATATTCTCTTAGTGACTAATTTCATTCTGCTTATCATTCTATCATCTGTTGTGTTTATACACCTCATTTTCTCCCCCCCCATGCCTAATTTGATGGACATATTACATTTCTTGATTCTTGTGAATAGTACTGTCTTAAACATGAAGTACAGACATATTTGAACATGGCTTTTCAGCTTGTGGCTGGCCACATTTGCATGCAAGTTTAACTGTGTTCATATAAACGGTGTTATGAATTCTGAATGACTTTAACTTGAATCCATAATGTAAACCATTCAGCTATCAGGACTGCCTAAAATATACATGGCAGACATAATGGCATTATGAAAAATACAAGGATTATACTAAAGCCAAGTTAAATAGACATGTTTTAAAATTTCATTCATCAATAAAAAAATTAAATAAAATTTATCTTTCTTCCTAACAAATTTGATACTCTTAATTTCACCATGTTTAACAAAACAGACATGGTGAATATGCTGTGTTGTTTAAGGGCTGGTTTAGATAGAATAAATTGATACACAAAGTCACTCTTGGAGCCAGTGTGTTGCCTCAGTAGGAAAAGACACTTAGTACCAAGCCTGATGACCATAGTTCAATCTCTGGGTCCCACAGAGTGGAAAGGAAGAAGTGGATACCACAGTTATCTTCTCTTTACTACATACCTTGTGGCATTCTTACGAACATAAATATAGGCACAAATGTACATAAAGTAAATGAATAAAATTAATTAAAATAACAAAGTTCTGTTAATGGTTTCACAAGAGAATATGTCAATGAAATATCTGAAGGATGGTATTTCATTATTTTTTTCTAATAAATGTGTTAAATCAGTAGGTATGTAGTCCAGTTTCCAATAGATATTAGAAAATGTTTTCATTATAGAAGTATCAAAGTGATGGGTATTAGGAGTTTGTGATCTTGCCAAGTATTTAATCTATTTGAAAGTGTTTCTCCTTCATTAGAGGGAAAAAAACGGAAGTGGGAAGAAATTTAAGAAAAAAAACCAAAAAAAAAAAAAAAAAAGGTGGTTAAAAATTAAGTAACATGGCCATATATAGCAAGGATGTAATAAATAATTATATAATACAATCTCATCATTGGACATTAGGGACACACATAGAATATGAACTCAATTACACTGCATTGTACTTTTAAAAGGAATTCTCAAAATAATAGTAGTACTCTTGTGCCCAATAATAACAGAATTCATGACTACCTAACTAGGCTCTGCAGTAATTTTCTTTATTGCCTTTGTTCATTATATCAGGAAAGTGGATATGATGTTTATTTGTATGTGAGCACTTAATGTCCACAAGATACCTATCTAAATTGAATCCTGCACACAACTCTGTTTTCCTAAACATTGTTTTCCTTTCCTCTTTCTAGACAATCCTAAAGAGACCACTCGAGTGTCTGTTTTTGTGAGGATCTTGGACGTTAATGACAATGCTCCACAATTTGCCGTGTTTTATGACACATTTGTATGCGAAAATGCCAGACCCGGACAGGTGAGCAGCTGTGCAACTCTAGTTCAGGATGCTTTCGGTTGTGTGCAAAATGTGTTTTTGTCAAAATCTTGGAAAAGATAAGACAACCAGAGTTAGGAACACTTCTTTATATTCTCATTAAAAGTTTAGAAAGTGGTTGGTGTTTATAAAGTTGAAAGTATTTTAATAGGTCAGATTTCTCAATTCCTTTCCAAAGTTGTAATGCAAGAAAATAATAATGACATCTTATTCTACAATAATATTATTAAAATAATAAAATAATAAGATATTGTCTCTTCCATAAAATTGAGGTGTGGGAAATAGCTTTAAATTTTAAAACTACAAATCAAGAGCAAAAAAACAGAATCTGCTCCATGACATTGGCTCTATATTAGCAACCCTTTAGAGAAATAGAGGATGGTATTAGTACAGTTTTTAAT